AGCTGCCAGCCTGCTCCCGGGAAGAGTGGTAGAGCTGGGGGGCATTGGGTGGCTGGCTCGAGCTGTGCCGGGTGCAGGGTCTGCTAGCTGGGTGCTGGCAGGCTTGCACCTGGCACGGGCACCGTAGCCAGCCCGTACCCCTTTAAGGGGTCAGGGGCCGGGAGGGGGGCAGACGAGTTTCCCTGGTGTTGGCCAGAGTGGCCACCAGGGAAAGCTGGGGAGGGCTAGCCTCCTACTAGTTCGAATTAAGGGGCTACACACCCCTTAATTAAGGGGCTACACACCCCTTACTAGCCTCCTACTAGTAAGTTCGAACTAGGCTTAGTCCTCTTACAATGAGGTTTACCTAGTTCGAACTAAGCGCTCCGCTAGTTCGAATTAAGTTCGAACTTGCGGAGCGCTAGTGTAGCGCCTATCAAAGTTAATTCAAACTAACGTCCATTAATTCGAATTAACTTTGTAGTGTAGACATACCCTAACTGAAGTGTAGGAGCATAAGCTTTCATGGGCAAAGACCCACTTCGTCAGATGCATGTTACGAAGTGGGTCTTTGCCCACGAAAGCTTATGCTCCTACACTTGAGTTAGTCTATAAGGTGCCACAGGACTCCTCGCCGCTTTTGCAGATTCAGACTAACACAGCTACCCCTCTGATTCTTTACACAGAATAAGTTGACATCCCTGCTGAGCATACTCTGATAAGGTGTAAAATGGAATCACTTCTATAATATGTGAATGCTAAACTGTACTATGTTTCTGTTAGGGTTTTAAACTGCCATCCTTCTCAATAATTCCAAGCATCCTATTTGCTTTTTTGACTGCTGCTGCACACTGCGTGGACATTTTCAGAGAACTATCCACAATAACTCCAAGATCTCTTTCCTGATTAGTTATAGCTAAATTAGCCCCCATCATATTGTATGTATAGTTGGGGTTATTTTTTCCAACGTGCATTACTTTACACTTATCAACATGAAATTTCATTTGCCATTTTGTTGTCCAGTCACTCAGTTTGGTGAGATCTTTTTGAAGTTCTTCACAGTCTGCTTTGGTCTTGACTATCTTGAACAGTTTAGTATCGTCCGCAAACTTTGCCACCTCACTGCTCACCCCTTTCTTTAGATCGTTTATGAATAAGTTGAATAGGATTGTTCCTAGGACTGAACCTTGGGGAACACCACTAGTTACCCCTCTCCATTCTGAAAATTTACCCTTTATTCCTACCCTTTCTTTCATGTCTTTTAACTAGTTCTCAATCCATAAAAGGATCTACCCTCTTATCCCATGACAACGTAATTTACATAATAGCCTTTGGTGAGGGACCTTGTCAAAGGCTTTCTGAAAATCTAAGTCTATTATATCTACTGGATCCCCCTTATCCACATGTTTGTTAACCCCTCCAAAGAACTCTAATAGATTAGTAAGACATGATTTCCCTTTACAGAAACCATGTTGACTTTCTTCTACGTGTCTGACAATTTTATTCTTTACTATTGTTTCAGTAAATTTGCCCGGTACCGACGTTAGATTTACTGTCCTGTAATTGCCAGGGTCGCTTCTAGAGCCCTTTTAAAATATTGGCGTTATGTTAGCGGTCTTCCAGTCCTTGGGTACAGAAGCTGATTTAAAGGATATGTTACAAACCACGGTTAATAGTTCTGCAATTTCCCATTTGAGTTCTTTCAGAACCCTTGGGTGAATACCATCCAGTCCCGGTGATTTTTTCCTGTTAAGTCTTTCTATTTGTTCCAAAACCTTCTCTAATGATACTTTAGTCTGGGACAGTTCCTCAGATTCATCACCCACAAAGGATGGTGCAGGTTTTGGAATCTCCCTAAGGGTACGTCTACACTACAGCATTAATTCGAGTTAACTTAATTCAAAATAGTTAATTCGAATTAAGCTAATTTGAATTAACGCATCTGCACACAAAACCTAGTGGACCCTGAATCGAAGTTAAGGATAGCCGGAACCGGTACCGGCAGGGCATCAGTTTAGGACTTAGTGTATGGGGCTGCTACCTGAGGCTAACTGAGCTCTGTGCTTAAAGGGACCCTAACCCCACCCCCGGACAGACAGTTCTCAGGGTTCCCCGCTTGCTTGTCTACCTCGATGAGGGACAGCAAAGCAGTCTTGTCTTGGTGTGCCCTGAGTGCCCGCACTTGGGACACCACAGCACTCGGCCACATACCCCACTGGGTATGCCGGTGTATCTCGTGGGGTTGTTGTCATCAGCCCGGCTGTACTTGCTGCAGGCTGCCATCTGGGGGCTTCATCAGGAGGCTGTCAGGATCCAGGAAGCCCTGTGGGAGATCATCCACCCTGAGGAGCCCTCAGAGCCACCCCGGTCCTCCCCACCGGGGGCTCGTGCCCCATTCCTCCCTCACGTTCTTCCACTTACCCCTCCCTAGCCCCCCTTCCTGATGTCAAATAAAAGACACGTATGTTCAAAAATAGAAACTGGGTTTATTGAACAAACCTGGGGGGGGGGAGATGAACCTCTGGGGAGACTGGAAAAAGGAGGTGGGAGAGGGGCGGAGAGAGGGTGGAAGAGGGGAGGGGGAAACCTGGGAGGAGGGTGCTGGAAGGGGGAAGCAAGGGGAAGAAGGGGGAGGGAAAGCTCAGGGCCCAGGGTTGGGGGTCTCTCCGGACCAACCTGATTTTCATGCAAACCTGCTCCTGGGATCACGTGGCCTTTGGTGGCCAGGCTGGCAGCTATCCTGCCATAGATGGCCACATTCCTCCATCTAGTGCGGAGATCATGGACGTTGGGGGCATCCCCCCCAAACCTGAATAAGGTCCATGATCTCCAACCTGGACCAGGAAGGCCCCCGCCTTCTCCAGCCCCTGTCAGGCTCCTGGGAGCTGGCAGACTGCTCCTGGGGAGTGGTGGAGGGCTGGCTGCCAGTGGCTTGCTGGCTTATGTTTTGGGGCCATTGCGTCAGGGGCAGTGTCTGCTGGCTCTGGGCTGGCAGGCTTGGAGCTGGCACAGGCACTGTGGTCAGAGTCTACCCCTTTAAGGGCTCCCAGGAGGTGGGGGAGGAAGAGGAGTGTTCTTGGTTGAGGCCGGAGTGGCCACTAGGGCGCCCTGGGAAGGCTGGAGGCCCTCTATTTTGAAATGTCTACACAGCACTTATTTCTAATTGGCGTTATTCCTTGTGGAATGAGGTTTACCAGTTTTGAAATAGCGGTTGGCTGTGTAGACATACCCTAAGAGAAGTCTCTGTCCGATCCACGTGCTCCTCCACACCAATTGGCTTTCCGCCATCTCTTAGTTTAAAAACCTCTCTACAATCTTTTTACTGTTTAGTGCCAGGAGTCTGGATCCACCCTGGTTTAGGTGGAACCCATCCTTCCTGTATAGGCTCCCCCATCTCCAAAGTTTCCCCAGTTCCTAATAAATCTAAACCCCTCCTCCCTACACCATCATCTCATCCACACATTGAGACTCTGAAGTTCTGCCTGCCTACCTGGCCCTGCACTTGGAACAGGAAGCATTTCTGAGAATGCCACCATAGAGCTTGCAGAGGGGATGGTGGGAATACACTAGTTTACCCCATCCTTTTGCAGGCCATTCTTGATAATGCCCCTCTGTGGCCTGTTTGTGATAGGAGTCTGGCCCAGGTTTTCCCAGTCTCCTGCTCCAACATGCTATCAGTGGGGGTGGAGTACTCTTGAGAGTGGGTTGTCTCATGTGGGTGTTCCTGTCACTTCTGCTGCTGTCAGCATATCAGCTAAGGGTCAGTGTTGTAATGAGGGTATCTCAATTGTTTTCTCCTAGGAGCCATGAGCTTTGCTGGGGAGGATTATAAATTGCTGGGAGTAGACTTATCGGAGCTGCCTAAGCTGGAGCAAGCCTTGACAGAAGCAGGCCTGGACCCAGAGGTTCCTACCATGCTCTTAGCAGAAGTGGTGCTTACTTACATGGAGATCAGCAGGTTGGTTGGCTCACTTTCTTCCCTGTAAGCTAGGGGCCTAAGCAAGAGCAGTGAGGGTGAGAGTTAGTATCAGGGGGTATTCTACACTACCCTCCTAGTTCGAACTAGGAGGGTAATGTAGGCATACCGCACTTGCAAATGAAGCCCGGGATTGGAATTTCCTGGGCTTCATTTGCATAAGCGGGGCGCCGCCATTTTTAAATCCCCGCTGCTTCGACCCCCGTGCAGCGCGGCTACATGGGGCTCAAACTAGGTAGTTCGGACTAGGGTGCCTATTCCGAACTACCGGTACACCTCATTTCACGAGGAGTAACGGTAGTTCGGAATAGGAACCTAGTCCGAACTACCTAGTTCGAGCCCCGTGTAGCCGCGCTGCACGGGGTTCGAAGCAGCGGGGATTTAAAAATGGCGGCGCCCCGCTTATGCAAATGAAGCCCGGGAAATTCAAATCCCGGGCTTCATTTGCAAGTGCGGTATGCCTACATTACCCCGCTAGTTCGAACTAGCGGGGTAGTGTAGACATACCCTGAGAGTGATGAGTCTGATCCTGGAGACTTGTCTCTAGGGCCTTTTGGCTGGTTGCAGGTGAATTGGGAAAGCCACTGGCAGCTGTCTAGTTAGAGACAGGTGATATGCAGGACTATCTCGCAAATGGAAATGGCTCTTTCTTGGTCCTTGCAGCTCCTAGAGCCATTCTGAGCAGCTGGGTGAGGGCTCTCTGCTCCGTGCTCTTCTCTCCAAATAGTAGAAGAACCTCCAGTGGCACCCTCTGTGGGTGTGCAGGAAACAGTCTGGTGCCTGCTCCCATCCTCGCTGGGGCCACAGCCCTCTCGATTTCTCACCTCTGCCTGTGGCTTTCGCAGGTCAGATGCTTTGATCCAGTGGGCAGCTCAGCACTTCTCCTGCGCACAGTTTGTGCTCTATGAGCAGATACACCCTGAAGACCCCTTTGGTTTCATCATGCAGCAGCACTTCAGCCGGCTGAACTCTGTGCTTCATGCTCTGGCCCAGTATCCCAATTGTGAGGCGCAGAGGAGACGCTTTCTCCAAAGGGTAAGTGGCTATGGTCCTGGAGCAGGTCATGGTTCTGCACCATCTGGGAAGGAGCATAACCTCAGAACCACCGGCATGATCCCACAGGCCTTTGGTATGGGTTGGTTAGAACCAGGCTGGGGACAAGAGGCACTGCGTGGCCCTCTCTCCTCATGCAGACTTACAGAGCACCTTCCTTTGTCTGACAGCTCTCTCTGTGCAAAGGCTAGTACATTGTTCCTTGTAGTGAAGCTGCACCATGTGAGGATCCCACAAGTTCAGGATCTATGAGCCGGGGTGTAATGAGTGTCGACTCTGAGCTGGTCACAGCAACATACTGAGGATGTGTACTTTGCAGCCGGGTATGCCCCCACCATGGGGACTGAGCCATTCGTTTTCAGGCCAGTCAGTTGAGTGGGAATCTAGCCAGCATTGCCAGTCTGAATATGTATGGGTATGTCTACACTAGCTCGTTAATTTGAGCTATGTAGGCAAATGAGGCGACCGGAGTTGCAAATGAAGCCCGGGATTTAAATATCCCGGGCTTTATTTGCATGTTCCTGTCCAGTCGCCATTTTGAAATTTCACTAGCCCGAACTCACTGCCGCGCGGCTATGCACGGCAGTGAAAAGTTAATTCGAACTAAGTCCTTAGTTCGAATGAACTGTTACTCCTCATTCCATGAGAACGGAGGATATGTAAATCCCAGGCTTCATTTGCAACTCCGGTCGCCTCATTTGCCTACATAGCTCAAATTAACGAGCTAGTATAGAATACCCTTTGTGAGTCCGTCACAGGGGGAGGGATTGGGTGAAGACCCTGTGGTGAGGGGGTGGAGTGGGTTGTGGTTGTCTCCCTGAGGGAATGTGGGTCTCTCTTTTAGGGCTGGACCGAGTGCAGTGTCATTGATATGAATGAGTTCTACGTCGGCTTTATCCCTGAAGATGAACGACAGAGAGTGCAGGCTCTGGAGCCCTTTGATGAATATGAGGTAACGTTTCCCTTCCTTCTTACACCAGGGGCATGGCTCTAATGGGCTGTGCACCTGTAGCTTCCCTTATGGCCATGGAGCTGGCTGCACAGATGCTAGGGAAATAGGTATTACTGAATAGACAGAAAAGGCCCTGGGAATCTGAGACCAAATTAACATGGAGCCCACAGGGAAGCTGCTCATGAAGCTGGGACAGGCAGCAGAAGTTCTGGCCTTTTAATATATGTTCTTCTTTGAGTGATTGCTCATTTCAATTCCAAGTAGGTGTGTGTACGCCACGTGCATAGTCATCCGTTTTTTCCCATACCAGTACTCATCCACCAGCCGTGGAGCCCCCTGGGCTAGCGCCATTATAGTGTTGTATACTGCTGACCCTTCCCCCTCTCAGTGTTTTCCTTAGCTCAGAGATGGGCAAAATATGGCCTGCTGGCCAAATCAGACTCGCCCCTCCTTCGGATCTGGTCTGCCACCATCCAGTGAGAACCCCAGGCAGGCTCCCTGCCTGCTGTGCTGCTCGCAAGCTGCTCAAAGTAGCCTGATACGGGAACCACGTGCATCTCTGTGCACTCCTGGATGAGGGGTTTTATGCACTGCCTCCACCCCCAGCACAATCTTGCAGCTCCCATTAGTCGAAACCAAATTAACATGGCTGCTGACTGGGAACTGCTTAAGGGAAGTGCCTCCCAGCCAGAGCCTGCACCCACCCTCTTTTCCCAGCCCTCTGCATGCCATCCTGCATCCCTGCCCCAGGTCACAACCCCTGCATTCCTTCCTACATCCGTTCCTCCTGGTCATCTGTCCCAGACCCTGCACCTACTTCTGCATCCTAATCCTCTGCCCCAGGTCGCAACCCCTTCCTTCACCCAAACTCCCTCCTGGACTCCATACCCCCTTCTACACCGCAGTCCCCTAGCTTGAGATCCATTCTGCACCCAACCTCTGTCTATACTCTGCATCCTCTCTATAAGTAAAGTAAAAGTGTAGCCCTTGACCACTTACCCAATTCTTGGGAGTTGCCCTCAGTCAGAATTTATTGCCCACATCTGCCCTAGCCTATAGTTTATGGTAGTCTAAATAGATCGTGTAAAATAGTTCTTTTCTAGTGGAGAGTATGTGATGCTTAAACGAAGCATACGAGATCTTTTATAGGGGAAAAGGCAGTATGCCGCATTTATTGAGAATACAACAGTTGCATATGCTTTTCAGTCACACACACAAAACATCATGCACACACAGTCTTGCCAGATGATGTCATAGTTACCAGTCCAGAGTCGGTGTCAATCTAGTGGCCAGCTAGGTCGAACACAGGGGAGAGCAGGGCCTTTGTTGGTCGCTATCCGATGCTCCTCTGGGGATGGTGGCAGACAAACCCAAAGTTCCATAGCAAGGCACCTTGCTTTTATCATCTTTTTCTCTGTTGAAATCCATGGATTCCGCTCTGTCAGCTTGTGACTAGAATGTTATCTTGTTGATGTCAATCGTTCCCAAACATCTTCCAAGGCTCATCCTGTAATCAGTCGTCTTTTGGGGGTGCCCGCTCCGCTTCAAGGTTCATCAATCTGCCAATCCTCTCGTGAGTAGGGGGCACACATCGATGGTTATAAATGGCTTCTTTGCAGCCAGGTTGTCTTGTGTTCTGGCCTTCACCCACACTCGCTCACCCCCTTTCTCTGGCCATCTGGTTCTAAGCAATATAACTTTACATCTTATCTCGACACATTCACACTCCTCTCACACACATGAGCAATGTTACAAGGGCTTTCAAGGTTACATAGATCTGCATCGAGCAAAGCAAAGAGGCGTTGTAAATCAAACAATTAAGGCTTGACCTTCAACATTTTTCTAATCTTATTAACACAGACACAATACCTAGAACTGTCTTTCCACTTAGGCCCATCTACTAAACTCACTTTTAGGGCAAAGGAATAGACATTTAACTAAAAGGACTTAATTCAAAAAAATACTAAATATATATTGCTATATTATGGCTACATTATTAGACTCATTACTATATTACTAAACCTAAAATACAAATATAAAAAAAAATAAAGCTTTCAATCCTAACAAGTATTCCTGTCTTCTCCTTCCCTGTGGACTGGGACATGCCCTGGTCCCTCGGCTTTAAACCGTACAAAAAGAATCTGATGTGGAGGGGTGAAGCAACCCCGCCCTTACCTGGGGCCTGAGGAGTCTTGGGAGCCGAGGCTGGCCGGCACCCGCCATGGCAGGGAAGTGGCGGGGCTGAATTTAGAAGCCCCATTCGGGGAAGGGGGAGGGGCCGCATTGGAAGCAAGAGCCCAGAGGGCAGCCGCAGACGCGGCGCTGGGGGATGATGTCATACGCCGATGTGGTGTGACGTCAAGCCGGCACCGGGGAATGAGCGACGGAGATGGGGAGCGGGAGCCTGCGTGATGTCACCCGCCGAACTCAGGGGCGGGGATAAAGGGCGCCAGCACAGAAGGTGAGGGGAGGCCAGGAGGAGAAGGTCGCCAGGGCTGGGACGGGACGTCCCGCCCTATGGGAAAAGAGAGGAGACTTGGACCGCAGAGGTAGGAAGTGGCCCAGGGCGGGGTTGCGAAGCCCGTGACAAACGAGTTTAGGAGCCTTTCCCCCATTTGCTAGGTTAGGGAGTCGGGCTCCCTGCCTTAGGGCCCTGGGCCAGGACTCGGGAGAGTGGATGGGTCTGAATCCCCCTACTCCGCCATCGGAGGTTGGATATTGGTGCCCAGGCCAGTGTGATTGCTCACTGGGTGTAGTTGTCAAACAAAAGCCGAACAGGGACATGTACCGTGGCAGGTCATGAAAGTGACGGATAGCACAATAAAACGGGTGGTTGAATAAGACACAAGTCAGAATTTCTTACATCTGACACATCAGAAAAGGTCACACAAATAAACAGTGACAAGTTTTTAAAGTGCTTGTACACAAATGCTGGAAGTCTAAATAAGATGGGTGAACTAGAGTGCCTTGTGTTAAAGGAGGATATTGATATAATCACAGAAGCCTGGTAGAGTGAGGACAATCAATGGGACACAATCATATCGCAGTGTGCATGTCCTAGTCCATAAGGAAGGATAAGAGAGGAATACTCCCCACTAGAAAAGAACTATTTACACAATCTAAAGAACTCTTAAGTAATTAATTATCAACTATTTAGACTACAAAAACTATAGGCTAGGGCAGATGTTCTTTGCCACCTCACTGTTTACCCCTTTCTCTAGATCATTTATAAGTAAGTTGAATAGGATGGGTCCCAGGTGTGACGGACCCAGTCGGGTCTGGGCACAGCTGAGGGCGTCCGCTTAGAGCGAATCGCTCAAACTCGGGGCTCCTTACAGCCCCAGACTGGAGACCTTCCCAAATAGGCCACAAACCAGTCACACCAAGCGCTTCAGCTTCCAATCTGGCCAGCCAGAAGCCTCATGAGCAAAACCTCTCTGACACCCCAGCTCTCCCTGTGCCCCAATCAGCCCTGGGCCTAACACACAGGTGAGGGTTTATAGAACCCAATCTCACCTTCCCTGAACAGTGATAGAAATGTAGCCGCGTTAGTCTGGGGTAGATGAAGCAAAATGCAGGACAATGTAGCACTTTAAAGACTAACAAGATGGTTTATTAGATGATGAGCTTTCGTGGGCCAGACCCACTTCCTCAGATCAAATAGTGGAAGAAAGTAGTCACAACCATATATACCAAAGGATACAATTAAAAAAAAGAACAAATATGAAAAGGACAAATCACATTGCAGAACAGAAGGAGGATGCGGGGGGGTGGGAAGGGGGAGGAAGGAAGGTAAGTGTCTGTGAATTGATGATATTAGAGGTAGGGACAGATCACACTGAGCCAATTCTTTAGCATCTAAAATCTAAAGGTTTATTACTAAAAGAAAGAAAAGCATGAGAGTACGGTTGTTAAAGGATCCTATTACATGCATTACATGCATCGAATCACCCAGTTCTTGATACAGGCGCTTAGCAGAGATGTTATAAACAGCTATCTTAAAAGTCTCTGGTGTACATCCTATATCAGGATGGGTCCACGGTTCTTTCCCGCTCGTTGTTCCCTGCAAGGCTGCATCTGGGATCAGGAGCTGAACTCAAGACAAGATGGAGGGTGCCACATGGCACTTATATATCTTCCCTGGCATCTCTCTGGCCAGAGAAGGTCACATGGTCAAACGACCTATCCCTGTGTCCCATGCTGGCAGCCCTTTGATCCTGCCTGATTTGCAGGTGTCAGTCACATTCCTGAGGTGTGTACTGGCACCTAGAGCTTCATTGACTCCTTGCTAATTAGCATAGCCATTGGCTGAGCATTTCTTGCCCATTGCTCAGCCACAGACAGAGCAGTTTTTAACTCCACATACAGATATCATCCAAGTAAATGAATAACACATACAGAATCAGTAGAACGCAAGTTTTCATGTGACACCTCCTATGGCACACTTTGTATATACTTTGGGGCAAATACCCCCCCACACACATTGGTGCAGCAGTGGTCTGGCTGCTCCCCTTAAAATCCAGTAATGTGACACCAGGACAGATGCTTGCAGGAGAGGTCACCCCACTAGTTACCTCTCACCACTCTGAAAACTTCCCATTTATTCCTACTCTTTGTTTCCTGTCTTTTAACCAGTTCTCAATCCATGAAAGGATCTTCCCTCTTATGCCATGACAACTTAATTTACATAAAAGCCTTTGGTGAGGGACCTTGTCAAAGGTTTTCTGGAAATCTAAGTACACTATATCTACTGGATCCCCCTTATCCACTTGTTTGTTGACCCCTTCAAAGAACTTTAATAGATTAGTAAAGCATGATTTCCCTTTACAGAAACCATGTTGACTTTCCCCCAACAAATTATGTTCTATGTGTCTGACAATTTTATTCTTTACTATTGTTTCAACTAATTTGCCCTGTACTGACGTTAGACATAGCGGTCTGTAATTGCTGGGATTGCTTCTAGAGCCCTTTTTAAATATTGGCGTTACATTAGCTATCTTCCAGTCATTGGGTACAGAAGCTGATTTAAAGGATAGGTTACAAACCAAATTCTTCAATTTCCCATTTGAGTTCTTTCAGAACTCTTGGGTGAATGCCATCTGGTCCCAGTGACTTGTTACTGTTAAGTTTATCAATTAATTCCAAAACCTCCTCTAATGATACTTCAGTCTGTGACAATACCTTAGATTTGTCACCTACAAAGGACGGGTCAGGTTTGGGAATCTCCTTAACATTCTCAGCTGTGAAGACTGAAGCAAAGAATTCATTTAGTTTCTCCACAATGACTTTATCGTCTTTAAGTGTTCCTTTTGTATCTTGATCGTCCAGGGGCCCCACTGGTTATCGGGCTTCCGGCTTCTGAGGTACTTAAAAAACATTTTGTTATTACCTTTAGAGTTTTTGACTAGCTGTTCTTCAAACTCCTTTTTGGCTTTTCTTTTACATTTTTACACTTAATTTGGCAGTGTTTATGCTCCTTTCTATTTTCCTCACTAGGATGTGACTTCCACTTTTTAAAAGATGCCTTTTTATCTCTCATGGCTTCTTTTACATGGTTGTTAAGCCACGGTGGTTCTTTTTTAGTTCTTTTACTGTGTTTTTTAATTCGGGGTATACATTTTAGTTGGACCTCTATTATGGTGTTTTTGAATGAGGGCCAAGAGGATGCCAGTGAGGGCTTCATCTTCCTCTTCCCCAAAGAGGTGATGGGAGTTTCAGCCACATCTTTTTTGCCCATGGACAGCAGGGTCCACCATGAGCTACTGCTTGGGTCTTTAGGCTGAGAAGGTCGTGAAAGATCTCAACCTCATGGTTGATACCTTTGCCCTAGAGGGACTCTCTAGGATGGCATTAACCTTTATGAAGACAGTATTCAACACCACAAAGCCCCCTGAAGACTCTGGCCCTCATTCCTCCCAAGTGAAAGGAATGAAGAGGAAATAAGTTAGTTAAGACCAAAGCAGACTGTGAAGAGTTTCAAAAAGATCTCACCAAACTAAGTGACTGGGCAACAAAACGGCAAATGAAATTTCATGCTGATAAATGTAAAGTAATGCACAATGGAAAAAATAATCCCAACTATATATACAGTATGATGGGGACTAATTTGGCTACAGCTACTCAAGAGAGAGATCTTGGAGTCACTGTAGATAGTTCTCTGAAAACATCCACTCAGTGCGCAGTAGCAGTCAAAAAAAGCAAATAGAATGTTAGGAGTCATTAAAAAAGGAATAGAGAATAAGACAGAAAATATCTTATAGCCTCTATATAAAGCCATGGGACGCCCACATATTGAATACTGCATACAGATGTGGTCTCCTCATCTCAAAAAAGATATACAGCTGGTCCCCGAGTTATGAATGCATCGACTTATGACCCTTTGTATTTACGACCATCCTCCTATACAGCCAGAACCCAAGTTACGAACGAAATCTGCACTTAAGAACGTCTGTGAATGTAGTCTGACTTACGAACTGATCGAGTTATGACCTAGTGTTTGGTACGTAACTCATTCGTAAGTCAGGGACTGGCTGTACTGGCATTAGAAAGTGTTCAGAGAAGGGCAACTAAAATGATTAGGGTTTTGGAACGGGTCCCATATGAGGAGAGATTAAAAAGACTAGGACTTTTCAGCTTGTAAAAGAGGAGACTAAGGGGGATATGATAGAGGTATATAAAATCATGAGTGGTTTGGAGAAAGTGAATAAGGAAAAGTTATTTACTTGTTCCCACAATATAAGAGCTAGGGGTCACTAAATGAAATTAATAGGCAGCAGGTTTAAACCAAATAAAAGGAAGTTTTTCTTCACTCAGCGCACAGTCAACCTGTGGAACTCCTTGCTAGAGGATGTGGTGAAGCCTAGAACTTTAATAGGGTTCAAAAAAGAGCTAGATAGATTTATAGAGGTTAGGTCCATCAATGGCTATTAGTCAGGATGGGTAGGAATGGTGTCCCGGGCCTCTGTTTGTCTGGAGGTGGTGACAGGATAGGGATCACGTGAGCATTACCTGTTGTGATTCCTCCCTCAGGGACATCTGGTGCTGGCCACTGTCAGCAGACAGGCTACTGGGCTAGATGGATCTTTGGTCTGACCTAGTATGGCCGTTCTTATGTAAAATAATATAAACAGAACCAGCAGATCATGACATGAAGATTGATGGGTTATATGAAATAATTTGCTCAAAGCACCTTTGAGTTACTTAAATTCATGTTCATAAGTCCATTTCACAAAGTAGGGGGGGATGTCTGTCATAGGACCAAACGGGTGTTTCACTCCATTGACACAGGTGATGCTCACCCAGGTAGGGCCAGGCCCTACCGAATGGCTCCTTCAGTCAAGGCGGCTATAGAGAAGGAGATCAAGGACATGCTAAAGATGGGTATAATTCGCCCTTCTGAGAGCTCATGGGCTTCTCCAGTAGTCCTAGTTCCCAAACCAGATGGAGAAATCGGCAGCCATCTCACTACGCCATTTGTTATGATGTCAGAGAAGATGCTGCATTTGGGAGAACAATGCTTCAGATTGCAAATCTGTGATTTCCAGCCCCTCCACCAGATTGCTACTTGGGAGTCACCTACTTGGAATTGACATAAACAGTCACTAAAAGAATTAAAAACAGTTACCTACCTTGTAAACGTGCTGCTCATGTCCATTCTAAGAGCCACTCGCCTCTCCTCTGAGTGGGGAGAAGGCCAGCAGAGGACTATATGCAGCATCATTATGGCTCCACTATAGGAGTCTCCAAAGCTGACCGGGTACTACTGGGGAAAAATATTCTGACGACCGTGCATGCAGAGTGCACATACCTACTTGCAATGGACATGAGCAACACGTCTCGAAGAACAGTAGTTACAAGAAGTAGGTAACCGTTTTTGTCAACGACAGCCTTCTTCTTACTTCCACAAGCTGCCTGCACAGGCCCCATCACATGGATCCAGTTCTCTAACCTTCCAAAAAGTCAGTGCAGGACCTTCCAAGAAACTGATGCACACTTCCTTAGTGGGCTTCTGTCCTAGCTTAATCCTCCAAGTGGGTTCAAGACCAGATCTGCGGCAAAGCACCTGGATTACAGTAGTGTGGTTCCTACACCTGAGGCAGGGAAAAGGAGTGCTTTCCTGGTGCCTTGGTGGCTGCTTTCATATCATTTTTAATAGGGTCTGGTAATCCTGGCCCCCATCAGTTGTGGGGCCTGCACCCCTACACCATCCACCACTACCACCTCTGCTATAAACACTCAAGTTTTTCTCTTCTGGTTTGCCGCAGGAATGGCACCTGAAGTGTTCACATTACTTTATCCTGGCTGCATCAAAGGGGAGAGAGCTTGCCTGGACTCCTTTGTTCTCGAAGATGCCAGGTAAATATGTTTTGTCTTCATTGTTCAATGTGTGTCCCTATGCCTGAAATATAGCAGTTTTCAAACCCTGCTCTGAGTCCAGAATTATTTATTTCCTCATACATTTCCCTGTGACACTCATCATGATTGTATCCGAGTACCTTACAAACATTTATGAATGTATTTTCACAAACGTATCTGTGAGGAGCAGTAATGATATTATCCCTGTTTTACACATAGGCAACTGAGCTATTGATAGAAATGTAGCCGTGTTAGTCTGGTGAGCTATTGAGAGATTAAGATCTAATGTATCCACTAATTTTGGGTGCTCAATTTGAGATATGTAGGCTTTGACTTTTTCCTGAGTATTTAGCATTATATCGTACTTTCTATGTTCATATCTCCCACTGACTTCATTTGCAACTGTAAATAATCAGCACTTCATAGAATCATAGAAAATTAGGGTTGGAAGAGACCTCAGGAGGTCATCTTGTCCTCAGGACCAAGCCCCACTAAATCATTTCAACCATCAGTTCTTCTCTTCTGCAGGCTAAATAAGCCCAGTTCCCTTAGCCTCGTCTCCTAAATCATGTGCCTTAGCCCCTAATCACTTCTGCAGATCAGAATCACCACATAGTAACTTTATGGCAGAGGCAGGAGTAAAATCCACTTCACCAAAGGAGTGTTGAACTTCCTTAACCATGGGCTTTGGTTTCTTCAACCATGGGATTCTGCTCTAGGCACAAGGATTGTTAGGAAAAGATGGGATCCACCTAACCAAGAGAGGAAAGAGCATCTTCATGGGCAGACTTGCAAACCTAGTGAGGAGGGCTTTAAACTAGGTTTGTTGGGGGATGGTGACCAAGGTCCTGAGGTAAGTGGGGAAGTCAGATACCAGGAAGAAACACAAGGAGGAACGAGCAACAAAGTAGGACTCCTGACACGAATGGAGAAGGTCAGGCAATCAGCTGATTATCTAAGGTGTTTGTACACTAATGCAAGAAGCCTGGGAAACAAACAGGAAGAATTAGAAGCCCTGGCCCAGTCAAAGAACTATGATTTGATTGAAATAACAGAGACTTGGAGGGATGACTCGCATGACTGGAGCACTGTCATGGAAGGGTATAAACTGTTCAGGAGGAACAGGCGGGGGAGAAAAGGAGGAGGATTTGCATTGTATGTAAGAGATTGCTCAGAGCTCCAGTATATAGAGGGAGAAAAGCCAGTTGAGAGTCTATGGGTTAAGTTTAGAGGTAGAAAGACAGGGGTGATGTTGTGGTTGATGTCTGCTATAGACCACCGATGGATGAGGTAGAGAAGCTTCCAGATCACAGGCCCTGGTTCTCATAGGGGACTTTAATCACCTGACATCTGTTGGGAGACCAATACAGCAGTACACAGACAATCCCGGAAGTTTTTGGAGAATGCTGGGGATAACTTACTGGTACAAGTGCTGAAGGATCCAACCAGGGGACATGCACAGCTTGACCTGCTGCTCACAAACAGGGAGGAACTAGTAGGGGAAGTAGAGGTGGGGGACAACCTGGGAAGCAGTGATCATGAGATGGTAGATTTCAGGATCCTGACCTAAGGAAGAAAGGAGAGTGGTAAAATACACTTTCTGGACTTCAGAAGAGAAGACTTTGACTCCCTCAGAGAACTGATGCTCAGGATTCCCTGGGATGCCTACATGAAGGGGAAAGGAGTCCAGGAGAACTGGCAGTATTTTAAAGAAGCCTCATTAAAGACATAGGAAGAAACCATCCCGATGCGCAGCAAGAAAGTCAAATATGGTAGGTGATCAGTTTGGCTTATCGGTGACTCCTTGGTGAGCTTAAAAAGGGCAAGTCATGCCTTACCAATCTGATTAGCTTCTATGGTGAGGTAATTGGCTCTGTGGATATGAGAAAGTCAGTGGATGTGATATACCTTGACTTTAGAAAAGTTTTTGATACGGTCTCCTGCAATATTCTTGCCAGCAAGTTAATGGAATATGGATTGGATAAATGGACTGTAAAATGGATAGAAAGCTGGCTAGACTGTCGAACCCAACGGGTAGTGATCAACGGCTCAATGTCAGGTTGGCAATCAGTTTCTAGCGGAGTGCCCCAAGGATTTGTTCTTGGACCAGTTTTGTACAACATCTTTATTAATGACCTGGATGAGGGGATGGATTACACCCTCAGTAAGTTCACAGATGACACAAAGCTAGGGAAAGAGTTCGAATTGACTGCCTGCGGCTACACGCGGCAGTCAGAAGTTAATCCGAACTAAGTCCTTAGTTCGGATTAACTGTTACTCCTCCTGCAATGGTGCCCTCCCGGGAACATGCAAATGAAGCCCGGGATATTTAAATCCTGAGCTTCATTTGCAAGTTCGAATGCCTACATTAGCCACCCTAGTTCGAAGTAGGAGGCTAATGTAGACATACCCCCCAGTGACAGATGATGTCGGAAAAGCTGAAGTACCCAATACTTTCTTTGCCTCTGTCTTCATGGACAAGGTCAGCTCCCAGACAAATATACGAGGCAACACAGTATGGGAAGGAGGTGGACAGCCCTTTGTGGGGAAAGAACAAGTTAGGAACTACTTAGAAAAACTAAACATACACAAATCCATGAGGGAGTTGGCAAATGTCGTTGCAGAGCCTTTGGCCATTATTTGTGAAAGCTCGTGGAGATCGGGAGAGATCCCGGATGATTGGAAAAAGGCAAATGTAGTGCCCATTTTTAAAAAAGGGAAGGAGGATGATCCAGAGAACAACAGACCAGTGAGCCTTTCCTCAGTCCCTGGAAAAATCATAGAGGGGATCCTCAAAGAATCCATTTTGAAGCACTTGGAAGAGGAGTATGTCATCAAGAATAGTAAACGTGGATTCACCAAAGGCAAGTCCTGCCTGACCAATCTGATTAGCTTCTATGATGAAATAACTGGCCCTGTGGATATGGGAAAGTTACTTGACTTTAGCAAAGTTTTTGATACTGTCTCCCACAATATTCTTGCCGGCCAGTTAAGGGAGTATGGATTGGATAAATGGACTGTAAGATGGATAGAAAGCTGGATAGACTGTCGGGCCCAACGGGTAGTGATCAACGGCTCGATGTCAAGTTGGAGGTCCGTTTCTAGCGGAGTGCCCCAAGGATCGGTTCTTGGACCGGTTTTGTTCAGCATTTTTTATTAATGATCTGGATGAGGGAATGGATTGCACCCTCAGCAAGTTTGCAGATGACACTAAGCTAGGGGGAGAGGTAGATACGGTGGAGGGCAGGGATAGAGTCCAGAGTGACCTGGACAGATTAGAGGATTGGGCCAAAAGAAATCTGATGAGGTTCAACAAGGACAAGTGCAGAGTCCTACACTTGGGACGGAAGAATCCCAAGCATTGGTACAGGCTGGGGACTGAATGGCTAAGTAGCAGTTCTGCAGGAAAGGACCTGGGGATTACAGTGGATGAGAAGCTGGACATGAGTCAGCAGTGTGCCCTTGTAGCCAGGAAAGCTAATGGTATATTAGGGTGCATTAGGAGGAGCATTGCCAGCAGATCAGAGAAGTGATTATTCCCCTTTATTCAGCTCTGGTGAGGCCACATCTGGAGTATTGTGTCCAGTTGTGCCCCCCCCCCCCCCTAAAAAAAGGATGGGGAC